TTTACTCAAATCCATGTGTGGGTAGCAGCTTACCCTGAGCTGTGGTGCTCTATTTTCAAATATCCTATTCTTTCCTATCCTTTTAGTGGCATACGTTTAAACATAATCCTCCATATATGATACAATATGTAAGAAGAAAATAAAAACACTTGCTTTACTAATTTTCTAAAATGATTGGCTTTTGACTTCCATTCTCTTTGAAATGTCAGTTTGCCTCATTGCATAACATCAGTTTATCACTCTATGAATGTTGTTTTATATCTTAGTGCACCATTAATGGTGAAGGGATGTTCTAAAGAAATAAAGGAACAAGACCACAGGCTCACTTTATCAAGTATCTCATAAATCTGTTTGCTTCCAACATATAAATTCCACTTTATCAAGAACAGTTCTTTCTAGGAAAGTGGTTAGTAGTAAGCAGAGCTGCACTTTGTTTAGGGCAGTGTGACCTTAATGGGTGCCATTTGTTAGGAAAGACCAAAGCTGGCCACTAGGAGCTCGGGTACTTCCTGCTCTTCTCCAAGGGCGAAAAAGAAAAAGACCCACTGTGTTTGCCAAGGTGCTTTCTACCTCTCAGCGTGATGGAGGCTTGAACTGGGAGGGACCACATGGGGTGACTTCGCCCACACACACCAGTTCTACAGGTCTTACGAGTGACTTGCTGGTCAGTCAACCCTAGCCCCAGGGTGAATTTGTGAAATTTGCTAGAGATTTCTAGGTTTTCTAGAAATCTCTTGTTAGACTTATTAATTGTTAACAACTTAATTTTCCCAGGAAGATAACAGTAGGAGGGAACTCATGCCCTCAAGTAGGATAACACCAAACGTAAAATTGTTGTATTCTTGAAGATAGAATGCATGTTCATCATGAAACATGGGGTTCTGTGAGTAGATAGAGAACAAAATAAGCAGTAAATTCTTTCAAAATCCTTTCTCTGGCTTCAGGATTTTCTTTCATGGTATGTTAACTTGAGCATGTCAGTCATCCCAATAGGAAGATCCAAATAATCCAGTCATGGTGGTCACTTTGGCCAGAACTTAAGATTCTTTATCCACTGGTGACACATGTTTTAGATAAGAGCAACAGATCTTGACTGTGCTGAAGTGAGATTTAGAAGGGAACTCCTGTTTTTGTTTTTTTTTTACATGGCAGAATCAGGTGCCTCTTATTAGAGGCTACAGTTTCACCGTCAAGAGACTACGCAGGCTATATGTCATTGGCGCCAAGTCAATAGATGTGGGTCAGACCCGACCCGTGTCACTGACTTTCATGTATTGGAAGGAAGCACCAAGGGTGAGCCAATGAGTTTGTTCCCTAAAGCTGTAATTCTGTCATTCTTTTTTTGTTTCTTTAAGTTCCTCAGGCTAGACAGAGAATCTTCTGCATGGGAGGAAGAGTAGAGCAAGACTGGGAAGGTCATGGGAGTTCCAGCCGCAGGCAGCAGCCGTCTTGGGTCCCTTCCTGCATGTACCTTTCACCCCTTCCAACCCTGGCCTTGATAGGAGAACCTGCTCATGATTTCTGATCACGTGCCAGTTCTGAGTATTTACCTTACTCTGAGCCCTCGTTCAGGATTTTCAACCTGTGCCTTGTGCTTTTCTGGACTCTGCTGTTTAGATAGGTGATGGCTAAGAGTGTGGGCTCTGATTGTAAATTCTGGTCACCCCACTTAATACCTGTGTGACCTTCCTACACCTAACCTCTGTAGGCTCCATGCCCTCAGCTGTAGAAGAGAGATAGTAGTAGGACCTGCCTTTCTGGGGTCCCCAAGGAATAAAGGAGAGTCTCTTGGTGCATCCCACATATTGAAGGCACAGGGTATATATTTGTTGCTCCTCCTCTATTTTGTGCAGTTATTTTAAGTGCATGCTGTACCTCTTCTTCCTTCCATGGACCTGAGCATCCTCGATTTCATAAACATCAAAATTTGAGGCTGCCTCACTGCGGGTGAGCCACAGAGTTGTTTTTCATCTTTCCGGGCTTAGCTGTCTGCCTGCGTTTGTGTATGCCTGTGGTCTCTTAGGCGGTGAGGACCAGCTTTCTCCTCGTTGCACAGTCAGAGAAGGTGGTGGAGAAACAACTCAGCTGCCCAGGGACCCAGCATGACTAAGGAGCAGGCAGGAGAGAAAGCCAGGCTGCCCGCGTCCATGAGTCCCCACTCGCCCTGCGGATTTCATTCCTTCCACCTCACAATTGTACCCTCCTTAGCGCCTTCCACTTTTATCCCAAGTTTAGTTTTGGATGCATGTTTTCCAAAATAAAAATATAAAATGAAAAAAAAGGGGGGGGCACCTGGGTGGCTCAGTCTTTAAGCGTCTGCCTTTGGCTCAGGTCATGATCCCGGGGTCCTGGGATCAAGTCCCGCATCGGGCTCCCTGCTCCGCGGGAAGCCTGCTTCTCCCTCCCCCACTCCCCCTGCTTGTGTTCCCTCTCTCGCTCACTCTCTCTGTGTGTCAAATAAATAAATAAAATCTTTAAAAATTAAAAAATTTTAAAAATGGATTCACGTTTTCCCAAATTAATTCATGCCCTTTTCTCCTTCTCTCTGTTTCTCTCCTTTTTTGGACGACAGACTTCTGTCCCAGCCCGCACTTTCTCTTGTAATAGACTCCCATTTCCTTTTTCATCAACACTACTTTTTCCAAATAAAAGCTCATTCTAGCTCTTTGTACCAGCTCTGCCACACTCCTATCTCGGACTGTATTTTTCTGCATCCTCGTGACAAGTCTTCAAGAATCGTCTGCCAGGTGCGTCACCCAAGCTCTGTAAGCAGCGACAAGTGACCCCCTTCCCTCAGGTGCAGCTTGGCGCCTTGGGAGTCTCCCCGCGTCTTCATTCTGGAGGGTGCCGTTTGGCTGCGGACATGCCCGGGCTGCCTTCGGGACCGGGGCCGCTTTTCCCACAGTGTCTGTGTTATTCCTGGATGAGGGTCTTCTCCGAATTTCCAGAATTTATGTCTTTTTATATCTTCACTTCAAAGCTTTGGACTTGGAGTCCCCTCTCGCTGTTTTCCATGCACACCCCCTGCCTCCCTGCTCACAGTTACCTCGGTGCTGGGGGGGGTGTAATTTGTCAACAGGAGGTATGACACATGCACGTCGTCAGAGAGCACTTTACCCATGGCAGGCCTCCGCGTGGCCCCCCACGGACTCTGGTCAGCAGCTGAGTAAACTCCTTTTCGCTGTACCTACTGTTTTAAGCTTGGAAAAGATGACACTAGAGCTGCCTTCTAACTCTAAGCCATGTAAACAGGAAAATTGTTTCCCCTCAGACAGCTGAGACGTTTAACTCGGGCCTCACAAGTATTTGATGGGGTAGAGAGAAGTTGTATTCACTGGCCACAGGTGGTCTTTCTTAATAAACTCAAGCGGCAGCATGCTGGAATGGGAAACTGAGGCGGCGGGCTTCTCTCCGCTAGCTAGCGCTCTCACTGGCTTTTGATCGAGGTCGCATGGCTGCAACCTCAAGTCTGAGTCTGATTCCCCAGCCGTACAATGGGGATCATGATATTCTACCAGCTCTTGGGGTTGTTTCGAGGAAAGCAAAATGCATGAAAGCGCCTCATAACCAATTTCTTTTTTTTTTTTAAGATTTTATTCATTTATTCGTGAGAGACAGAGGGGGGAGGCAGAGGGAGAAGCAAACTCCCCGCTGAGCAGGGAACCCAATGCGGGACTCGATCCCAGGACCCTGGGATCACAACCTGAGCCGAAGGCAGACGCTTAACCGACTGAGCCACCCAGGCGCCCTATAACCAATTTCAGTGTACAGTGTCTGTATGTAATGCTCATCTTAAATGCAGTGTTCTAGTAATTTTTCTATCCTATAAAAGAGGATTTGAATCTTTCCATGGCCAAAATGGTGCCCTGCCCTGTCCTGGGAATTCCCAGCCATTTTCATGTCAGTGACCCTGGGATGTCAACTCAGATTCAGAGTATCCCCAAAATACACAAAGGGGAGCATCCCCTAAGACTGCTCTATCACGACGTGTGCAGGAGTGGGAAGAAACCCTCACTCCATCTTCTTACAACTCTTAGGGTTATGTTAGTTGAGAACGGTAAAAAATATACATATCTTTTACACATATATAAAAATAAAAAATATGAAATATATAAATATATAAATATATATAAATAAATATATATTAATAAATAAATGTGTGTGTGTGTCTGTGTGTATATAAAACTACTCCCTGTGGAGCCCAATGGAAGGAATGGATTCCAAGTTTGCCTACAAGAAGCCCAGCCACGGCTCATGGCTGTGCTGGGATGAACTTTTTTTTAGAAAGTTCCACATGTGCTAACACTGCACATTTTTATTTATTCTCTTAAAGATTTTATTTATTTATTTGAGAGAGAGAGAGCACACATGGGGTGAGGGGAGAGGGCGAAGCGGCTTCCCACTGAGCAGAATGTGGGGCTGGATGCCAGGACCGTGGAATCATGACCTGAGCTGAAGGCAGATGCTCAACCGACTGAGCCACCCAGGCACCCCTGGGATGAACTTTAAAATCACTCAACATCCACCCACAGCTACCCCGTCCACAGGAGAAAGGAGCCCACACTCAGCGTGGACCGCTCAAAGGCCTTAATTAAAAGCAAGGAACTGATGATTACTCACAAATACGATGTGGCTTCTTGTTTCTCCTTATTTCACAGGAACTAACATATGAAGATTATCGGGTCCTCATTTTACAAAAAGAAAAAAAATGAACAAAGCCCCTTTTTTTGTTGTTGTTCGTATGAATCCTAATTTTAATATTTTCCTAACCCTTTTCCTCATGCCCCACCCCCTGCTCTCTTTTTAGAGTTGGCCATAAAGTAACAATATGACTTTCCTTCTTCCTCCTGCCCTCCCTTCCCTGCTTCCTTATTTCCAAGAAAGACTTGGCATGCACAGCCATGGCAAGGCCTTTGATGAAGTTGAGGGATCCACCTATGCTTGGGAGAAAATTCATTTCTGGGAAGTTCCCTAGCACATATGCCTCTCCAGATCGTGTCATGCATGTGTCCCGGGTGTCCCATGAGCCAGAGACGTGGCAGGGCACTGAGTGTGATGCCTCCTGGGTGGACCTGATCTGATACTGGCGTTTTCATTCTAACGCCAAGGCAGGAGAGAGTGGAGGGGCCGAGAGGGTGGTGCGCGACTCACCACACCATCTTTTCTTTCTTTCAGAGACTCTGACCTATTTTTGTTGGACACCCGCGTGGTGTGGGCCTCAGAAGAAGGCTGGTTGGAATTTGACATCACAGCTACTAGCAATCTGTGGGTCGTGACCCCACAGCACAACATGGGGCTTCAGCTGAGCGTGGTGACTCGGGATGGTAAGTTTGCCAACATTGGTGAACAGCGTTCATCCCTTTGGTTTGCAACAGTTACGGTAGAACCCTGGTTTCCGGTGGAGACCACGGCTCTGGGATGACCGCATTTACTGTTCCCTCGGAACTGCTACTGAAAAGCAAAATCTCTCCCGGAGGCCTCCAGAAGGACTTGGAGATAAGTAGGTGGTCTGAGTTCCAGGGGCAACCATGGGAAGACAGCTCACAGAGGCAGGGGGAGCCCAGTCTACATTCTGACTGTTGGGTTGGGGGGTAGGTTTGCACGAGAACCTTCCGGCGCCCCCTCCTCCTGCAGCACCAAAGCTCCACAGCTCACGGTCCCCACACCGGTCCTCAGACGGGTGCATTCTGCCTGTGAAGTCCGTTCCCTCCCTGGTTGGGAGGCATATGAGCGGAAAGAATGGTTGTGTAGGGAAAAGTCCGTCGGGACTGGGAGGCCTGGGAGTTCACACCACGCCTTGCTTTGATTCACAGAACTTCGGAAGGAGTGTTTTGATTTTGCTCTGAGCATGCATAGTGCTCTTCCCTCACGCTCACTCTGCGCCAGGCACTTGGGCGGCTAGGGAACTGTAAGAACCAGTTTCCATGCAATAAAGACAGCTGTGCTTTGCTTTGCATTCAAGGCCTCACCGTCAACCCTCGAGCGGCAGGCCTGGTGGGCAGAGACGGCCCTTACGACAAGCAGCCCTTCATGGTGGCCTTCTTCAAGGTCAGCGAGGTCCACGTGCGCACCACCAGGTCGGCCCCCGGGCGGCGCCGACAGCAGAACCGCAACCGCTCCACCCAGTCCCAGGACGTGTCGCGGGGCTCCAGTGCTTCCGGTAGGTGTGGGTGGAGCCCCTGTTTGCAGGAAGCCTGGTGGGCGCGTCAGCCTCAGTGAGAACAAGGACGTGCTGATGGCGTCAGCTTTGCATGGCTTCTGCCCAGAAATACAAAGGCTCACAGGTGCCTCATCACCAACTATCTAGAAGGGTTCTTAGGGCCGTCAGAGGAGACCTTTGTTCTCCAAGGACTGAGTCTGCAGGCTGAAGACATCCCGGGTGTCTGGTTTTCTGAAAGAGCATCCTTCCATTCGATAAGATTTCTCCAACTCCTCTTTCATTCACATAAAGATCCTGAGAACACCTAGATTTTCTTCCAGTGGTGTTAGGCCTGGGAGGTTGTGGTGTACAAACAAACAAATTTTGTCTATTTGTGTAAGATGGACTCATATTGGTCAGTGTTCTTGGCTGAAAGTGATGGGAAGTCAGCTCAAACAACCGTCTCTGATGGATTTCGTTGGTTCGTTGAACTGGGAAGTCGAGGGTTCTAGCTGTAGGCCTGGCTAGATTCATGGGCTCACGTGGTGTTCGGAATCTCGCTTTCTCTTCTTCTATTTTCCCTTGTTGGTGGCATTCTCAGAAAGACCAGGTCTGCATGGTGGTAAGGAAGGGCAGCGGTCGTCTCAGGATCTTATCCCTCTTGGTAACCTCAGCTTCCAAAGAGAACCTCTCTGTCATGGTTGTAGCTTTAGCAGAAAGCCAGGCTGAGGCCGTGCACTCGTGACTTTGGGCAAATCCATTTCAGCTTCCAGTTTACTCATCTGTTAAGTGGGGATGGTTAACACTTGGTAGATTTGCTGGAATTAAATGAGAAATATTTGATCCGGTCCCTAATAATGCTCACAGACAAGTTGCATCCAGTTGAAGGAAGCAGGTTTTGAGGGCGTATGTTAGGACCCTTGGAAAGGATGTACAGTGCTTCTGGAAGATGCATTGGTTCTTCCAGGTGACTGTAAAGTGTCCTCTTCAGTGGCCAGAAAGACTTCATGCAACTTCCCTGAATACTGTTTCTCTTTGGGAAGAAGTGTCTCCATTTTAGGTTCTGACTTAATAAGCCATTTCTCTTACGAGTAACTTAGCTGTGGGGCTTGAGGACCCAGTGTGAGGTGATATTTTGCTGCTTTTGTCATCCTTGTGTTTCTTGGAAGCATGGCACAGTGTGGGTGTTCCCGTGTTTACCGCTGGAAACAGTTGGGCTTTAAAAAGAAAAAAGAAGAGGAAGAAATGATTGCTTTCCTTTATTCACTTCAGAGGAAGCCTGCTCCGTGTTTTCCTTCAGGGCATGATGATGGAGGCTGCTGGTGGTAGGCTTCAATTCATTAATGAACTGTGGTCACTTTGGTGCTGGGGCCCCAGACATGAAGGCAGCTCTTGAAATGTGGATTGCTTTTTAAAGTTGAAATTTCACTTGATTTATTCAACACCCCCTCCCCCAAGTACACACACCCGATTTTGTAACTGGGAAAACATGTCTCTGATTTTGGTTTTACCCGTGTCATCCAATTATTCTCTTCCAAGTCCCTTTCCACTTTTTTTTTTTCAATCTGATAAGTTTCAATTAAACATGAGCATTAAAGTTGATCGAATGTGTAGTAAGAGGCAAGTGTATCTGCTTTTTCTTGGTCTTCCCACCCCCACCTCCCAACCCGGTACTTGTAAAGATGCTTTGCTCCTTCCGGTGGTACTAGGGTTCATGACAGGTATCTCTAGCCTCACCTGTTCAAAGGCCCAGAACCCCCTCCCCACCCACCACTACCACCAAGAGAGTATTTACCAAGAAGGATCCTCCTTCCCTCTTACTAGCTTCAGAGACCCTCTCAGGCTGGTCCGAGAAATTGGTCAGGTTAGGCCCACTGAAGTGCTACTTTATATATTTGGCATTTTCTTCCTTATTTATCCTTGCCATTAATGGGAGCAGACGGACAATGGAAGAGGTTGCTCCTGGAGAAGGGAATTCCCAAGAGACGGCCCACTCCCTAGAGAAATGGGTCGTCCAGTTTGTGCTTTCTTTCCGGGCCACTCTGGGACCAGATGTTGCCGGGCCTCTGTGGACCGGGTAGATGCGGCCGAGACAAAACGTTGTGGTCTCTGGTGTGACTCCAGGCAGGACTTTCCCTTTGCAAATCATCTGGAAGTTTGAAGGAAGAGATTACTTTGCCTCTGCTGCCCCCCTTCTTCCGCAGAGTGCTCCCAGGGAATTAATATTTCTCCGTTGAAACCACCACCACCGGAAGCCCATCAGAGACCATCCTGCATCTGGGCAAAGAAGTGAACATAATCCATCAAGTTGCCTGTCATCAGGGTGAAACATGGCAGGGAAATACGGGGCTATTTTGGGAACCGAGCTGCAGATGCCTGGGCCGGCAGGGCAAGTCCACCACGAGGGAGTCGCCAAGAGCCCCTGCCCCTCCTCCTCCCCACCAGAATCTGCTCTCACATCTGTACTTGGCCTTCAAGCCGGACTTTGCAAACACATGCACTAAAGTGTGGGTTTGGATCGAAGGCATCCTGGATGGTTTTCACTTGCCCTTGCTTCTCTGCAGCTGTCTGTTCCCAGTGAATAATGGACGTTGGCTGTGTCGCCCGTCTCCAGTGGGCTTGGATATCATCTGGACAGTATTGTTTATCGCTTTTGCACATGTTTTAGGAGTCATGGTCCAAGCCGTGCTATGCAGCCCTGTTGGGGATGCCAGTGAATCCGGCAGTTCTTTCTCGGCCTACACTTCTACCAGCCTATTGCCCTGGGACAGCCTGCCCTTGGGTCCATTAGCTCTCACGTGCTGGTCTTTCTGGTTGCTTCTGTCCACCCTCTTCTAGAGTAGCTTTCTCTTGGGGACCTTTGCTTCATCTTCTGGGGACCTGTGACCCCACCTGGCTGGCTCATCACCAGGGCTGTGCACAAATGGCCTTGAGGGATGGTTCCATCGGGGGGGGGGTGCTTGAGATGCCCATCAAGCTAATTTCTCGGATCTTTCCAAGACCTTGCTGTGGAGGGAGTCATTAATGCCATGTCAAGTCAGATGGGGAGTCTGAGGTTCTCTGCCAGGCCAACCTGCTGGCTGCCAGCCCTGTGACTTGGAATTGCTCTTTGTTTTGGCAGATGACAGTTTGGGAGCTTTTCTGCCACTTTTAACAGTTCATGCAGAATTAGATGACCTTCCGGCCTCTTTCATCCTTGATGTTTTTGTGGCCGCCACGCACCTCTGCCAACCATCTGCGAAGCAGAGAATCCTTATGACCCTCTCTGTCCTTTGGAATGAGTCCTTTGTTGCTTCCAATGCTGTGTGTTAACATTTCAGAGTCCTTTCTCCTTCTACCTCTTTCCAACCCACACAAACATGTGTCTTTAAGGATCCTGGGAGGGGGGAGTGTGGCTCTGGTACATTTAGATATGCTCTTGACCTTGTTGATAGTTTAGCTGTGCGTCTCTTGAACTTCCCAGGACCATTCAGTATGCTTCCAGTGTAAGAAAGGTAACTGGACTTCATCGCTTGCCAGACAGTGGTTTGGGAACTTTAGGATGACTATGAAATCTTGCTGTAGATTTCAGGGAGCTTCAGTCAGTAGGCTGGGGGGCTCATCCTGACAGATCAATGTTTATTTGGCCTTTTAGTTCCTGACAGGTGTCCCCACTAGGTCATTGTGTGCGTCCATGGGTTGGCATGCCAATGCTGAGTGAGTTGACCCTCCACGGACATCCAAAGCTTGAGAAGAATGGATCTGGGTCAGGGTTTTGAGTTAGCTGTTTATGGTTCTTCAAAGGAATGAGAAATTGTCATTTGACGTTTTGATCTTAAATTAAAATTTTAGGGCCTGCTGCTTGGCTTCCAGATGTCTTGGTCAAGAGGTAGAGGCTTGTTCAGGGCTTTCTAAATGAAATCAAATCTTAATTTTCCACAGCTGTGGAGGACAGGCATGGCATTAGTGATTCAAAAGTTAGAATCATTTCAAACTCCATATTTATAATACTTGACTCTCATTTGCCATTAAGCTCTTTTGGGATAAAAGTTATCAAGGAGTGATAGGTTCCCTTCTACCCCATCCCTCAGTTTACCCCTTATGAATGTACTAATGGCCAGTAATGCTGAAAGGCAGTAAGAGAGAGGCATAAACAGGAGCTGTTAAGAGGCCTGAATAATTCACCAACTACCACCAACTCCCGAGAGGGTGCTGGGGGCCAGGAGACTCAGTCCAGGAGGGAACAGGGAGGGCAGAGGTACTTAAAGTACAGGGAGTCTTAGTGTTCAGTCTTTGAGAGAAGCTTTTGTCTATTTTCAAGATACTTAATCTCTGTATTCTTTGATAATCAAGATAAAGGCTGAGAAGAGGCCAAAGTCCACCCAACTTAAATGAAGCAGGAGATCTTGAAATCCTGGCCCCACAAAAGAACAGGACCTCCCTGTTGCCTCTCAGTCTAACCATCCTGGTTGTTAACAAAATCTAGATTCTGAAAATCAAGCTCCCTGCCCCCCAGCATTCGATGAGATTATTGACACCAGAACTCAAAATCTCAGTGTGGCTCCACAGTGTCCGGGGCCCAAGGAGCTGGGCTTTCTCCAGCATGTGCCCAACGGCCATGTTGATTCCATGGGCTAAGGGGGAGCCAGAGACTCGTTTTGGATGAGACGGGCTGAGGAGGCTGGGAGATGTGGAGAGATCAGGGGAGACGGAGGTGCCCTTTCAATAGCTGGGTGTTGTACTTGGCCCCGTCATTCTAGGAGAGAAGGGAAACGAGTTTCCTCTGGGAAGACTCCATAGCCTGGGCTCAGAAAAACTGGGAGCCCAGTGTGGAGCATGCCCCTCTGTCCCCAGCAGCTGCCCCCTGTGCGGCCTACTGAGCAGGGTCGCCAGCCTGCGGGGGTCGGGCGAGCACAGCTGCGCAGCCCCTCTGCAGAAACCCTGGCCTGCAAGGTGGCCGCAAGCCCCCTTCCCTCCTTGCCTCCTTCCCTCTCACCTGGTTTCTTGTGCTTGCCTTGACTTTGTCCTTTGTCGGCCTTTCT